CTGTGTTACTTGTCATGAAAGCACTACACCTGATATAAAGCTACTATCTAGTACCAATATACAGGGACAGTCTCCTGCATCAAGATTCTCTTTTAAGACTCAGACCTGTGCACTTGCAAGTAGTACATCATAATGTTTCTTATCACTAAGCCACAAGACAAAAGAATTATGGTAATATTTATGGTGTTGTTAACGTGTGAAGAATGAAGACTGGGTCTTGGAGGTACAGTTTTCTCAATAGAAGTATATGGGTAAAGTAAGAACTGGCACAGGACCCCAAAGAGTCAAATCTAATGTAGAGCTGCGAGGGTAAGTCTCTGTAATGCACTGGTTTGATTTTAAGTATGGAGACTGACACAAGCAGACTTCTATCTACCTAAGTTCTGAGCATTTGTAGGTAGGGCATCTTCCACCTACCTGTCAGGCATTTCTGTTTTCCTGCCTTGCATCCTGCAAATCAACTCTGTGTAAAGGAGCAGTTTTAGTACCTGCTAAGTATTTTTTTTTTTAGACCTAATGTGTATATTTTTAGATGTAATGTGTATATTTCTTATGGAAAGTAAGTACCTGCAAGTACCTACATGTAAGATTTTGCAGGATTGGGTTTTGATCAATTATTGAATTAACATGCCATTTACATAAATTGACTGTGCCTGATTTGTGTTTCTAATCTGTACATGTTCTCATAGCAAAAAAAAATATATTATTTGCTAAGTTCCTCCGTAGAAAAATAACGTGTGTCATGGTTGCCTTATCAGCTAAATGCTTTTCTCCATTTGCCTCTCTGCTAACGCTATCGAAGCAATAACCTGATGTTTGGAATGTTTGTGGCTTATTAACATAAAAAGAATTAATATGCATGTGGTTTGAGGATTGCATGGTTTAAAATTTTAAAAATAGATCCCAAACCTCACATCAATAGAATTATCTGAGTATTTTTAATTGAAGTTTTAAGTACAAAAAAAAAAGTGCTACAACACATAACAAATAACACACTAACTTTTCCAGGTCTGGGGACTTCAGGGAGCACATCATGTGAATTATATCAATTCAAAGAAAGCTTACATCAAGCAGCATGGAAAAATTATGAGACATGGTAAATGCTACAGAGAAAACTTATTCTTTATAGCAGTGAGCCACTCTCAGAAGAGCAGTGCACAAAGCTTGTGCATAGGTACGTTTTCCTTCTTAGCTGCTCACCAAGAGCAGAAGCTGGAGAAGCATTAGTAGCAATACGTCAGTTCATTGGAGTTAGGGTTCAGCACTCACAGTGGCCATTTAATGAACTACTTTGATGCTTTGAGGGTCTATGTTGCCAGAATGATCATCTATTCATGGATACATGTGCTGCACAGCTGTTGGAGAGCTACTTTGACCTCCAGCAATCCTGTTTGCTGCTATCTGTGGAAAGTTACATGTGCTTCTGCTTCAAACCTGCCCTATTTTAAATTTTCCACAGCTTTCCAGACATCCCTTCTTGTGGGTAAAGGCTTTCATTTCATCCTTATGCAGGATTTCCAAGTGATACATCAATGCTACTGTTTGGTGCGTGGTTGCTACTGCTTCTGAGACGCCTTGTCTGTTTGTGTACTGTCGGGTTGCTCGTGTGGCCATTTTAAAGATGGGTCCCACTTTAGACTTACTGAAAGAAGCTGTTCAGCCATTTCTATACTGGCCAAATGCATCCTTTTTTCCATGTCAGTATTCTTCATATTGCAGTGCCACCTAAGACACACAGTCACAGAGAGGATCACAAGGCATGTGCTATCGTACACAGGCCTACAAAACAATTGGTTTTTGGTACTTCTGTGGTAGTTATTTTAATTTCCTGTGTATGACCTTGTTTGCTTGTTCTGAGGAATATAGAACAACTTCTACTAGGAAGACAGTTGTCATCTTGCACTCTCTCATGCTCGTCTTCATTTCAGGCACCAGTACACAAGAAAATAACTTTTTTCCCTTCCAGAGCTTTATGGTGATCAATTTAAGCTTTCTCATCTCTTCTTTAATCAATAGCTGTTCTAACTTGCTCTATGCACTTAATTTCTATTTAGATACTTATTTTCAGACAGGCTACCTGGATTGTAGCACTGCAGAACAAAGGGATTGCACAACTCTGTGTGAGTTGGAACTTTATTATTTTATTTTCTTCTCTGTCAACTCAGATATACCCAATTAGCAGAAGTAGTGGTATCGATAAAAAGTCACTTTGCAGTGTTGACTCACCCTAATGTGCTTTCATTTTTGACTTTCAAATTCCGTGCTTATGGAATATCTGCTACTCTATAGAGCAAAACCTTTAAACAAGAGCTAGTAGTTGGAACAAAGTGTGCAATGTTTCTAGCTAATGGAGGGAATGAAGTACACTTAGCTATATAGGTACCTACAAGTAAATTAGAGATTCAAAAAGAATGGGAAATTAGAAGGAGGAAAAGAAACTATCTGAATCTTTTGGGGGTTCCCCCACTCACTTTACACATCACCTACTTCTGAGATATCTGAAATGTGTCAGATATTGATGAGTTATCCTGTTTGCATACAATGGTGTTTGCATTTGTTAGTCATTATAGCAGGCCCCAAGAGAACACACGAGGGTATCAATATTCTTGTTCCACATAGTATTTCTATTTCTACTAGCAGTAGATGTAAATGAGAGTGTTTAAAAAAAAAACAAAACAAAAAAACCCCAAAAAACAAAACCACAAACAAAAAAAAAAAACCAACTTTCTTCCACAGAAGGGAACGACACAGATGTTTACCCTCCCCACAAAATCACCAATCTGGCACAAAAAGTGGAATAAGGGAGTTTGATTTAATATGGCACTGACTATAAACCAAAATATGATAATCATTAAATAAGATCCCCTGCAGGTAAAATGGCCTGTGTTGAAAAGCATGTTCCTTAGCTTAGTTCTAAACCTATACTTGATTTTCATTTATTCTGAGAGGCCCTTTGAGAACAGACTGTAAATTCATGTACACATCTTTATTTTTATTGATATTTGAAAGAGAACTAGTCAATCTTTTTGTTGCGAGACAATTTCTGGAGACGGTAAAGAACACAGTTGCTATGCTCTTAATTTCTGTAAGCTGACATTTCAAATTAAGTGAAATTCCTTGGTTAAAAAGTGTTTTATTGCATTAATTAAATGGCTTGTTGGAGATGCCATGTTGTTGGATACCACTTTAAGTAACAACAAATGAATAATGAAGTGAAAGAGGGAAAGCAATGGCAATGAAGGGAGACTTTCTGAAAAGGGGGGAGGAAGAAACACTGTTTACGCACTGTCGGGAGAGAAGTGGGGCTTTTATTTTGTAAGTATCTGCCCATCATCCATTTCTAAATGAGCTGAGGATTTTTCTGCTATTCAACCAATATGAAGTTAAAAGGAAAACAGCAAAAAATGGCATGAAAGAATCTGGTTTTCCAGGTTCCCAGTGATAAAGAGAACAAACTGGTGGCCTGAGTTATAGACTGGGACTTCCATCCATCTGCATTAGTGTTAAGTTTTTCTAGCTGCGTCATGTGCCAGTCAGACAGTGCTAAATGAAGGTATCTCCTCTTTCCTGAGAGCATTAAAAAATTATAGATATGGAATAGAAATACGCAGAAGTAGCATATGTGCATGCTTTTTCTTTGTAACCCCCTGAAAGAATAGATCGACTCTCTTTAATTTCTGCTTTACTTGATGAGGGGATGTGCTCCAACCAGCTTCATTTGATCGTGAGTCCTTAAACAGGGGACACAGGTCTTAAACTACAGTTTCCTCAAAATACTGTGTTAGGGAATGGTGTAAGTAGCTACCTTTTAATTACTATATGGTAGGGTAAAATAGATTTAGAAAGAATGCTTTTGCAGAACAGAACTATTTTTACCTAGAGTGCAGATATTGCTGCTCCTGTACCCTGTGGAGGGAAAAATAATCCTCAGGCACAATGGGAAATAAGCCTAGCTTCAGTATCTTAACCTGAAGTGTGACCAAGAGAAATAAAGCAGAATGAAAGCACTAAGTGCAATCAAATGCCAGTGGTCTTGAGCGCAGTTTGAATAGCCAGGTTGCTCTCCCAGTAACTATAGCTACCTCACTTAATACACAGTCCAGCCAATCCATTTACCTCCTCCTGCTTCTGCCTTGTAGCTTTTGTGGTGTCACAGTCTCAACCTTAGAGCAGCTACCAGTTCCTCACGTGTTTTGGCTCTTTCCTAGCATAAGGCCTTTTAGTGGTAATCGCTGTGAAATCTTCGTGGTGTTACAGACTGAAGTACTACAGCAAAGAGCAAAATGACCTTAAAGAGAAAGGGCTGGATTTGGAATCAAGTTTGAGCCAAGGTGCTTTCTGCAGCAGACCTCAGGCCTAAGCATTGATATTAGCAATGTACATCTATAAAGGACCTTGCCCCAAGATAAGTCATATGTTAGTTTGTTCCGTTCAGCAACGGGATAATACTGCCTTCTAGAAAGCAACCGGTTATTTTGGCATAATTGATTTAACATCAGGCTGCAATCCAAGCTCTTCTAAATGAGTATTATTCGACATGCTTGTTTAGTATTATGCCAACTGTAAAGCTGAAAGAAATTGCTGCCTGTTAGTGGTCGCTTATAAAGAAAACTACACCCAAGTAACGAATGCATTATGTAAGCAGCTTATGCATATTAATATCAGGCTCTGACCTGAAATACAGAAACACTAATCCATATCTCTAGTTTTGCTTGTAAAATGATTCTCTGGCTGCATGGAATCAGGTTCAAATTAAGAACTGACTTGTAACCTATGTATGATGCACTAGTTAATTTTGTGTGATAAGGCAGTGTGGTTTTTGAAAAAAGTAGTTATGTCCCAAGTTTCCTGTCTAAGCATGTGAAAGCAGAAAGGATGGTAGATCTGCTTTCATCACTTCAGCTAGGAGCATGTTGAATGGAAACACATGAACTAACTACACCTTTCACTGCAGTGTTACTAAAAGGCAAAGTTCAGCACTGTAACTTCTGAAGCAGAAATTATTTGCACCCAGTCCGAAGAATATCTGATACTTGTTTTCCCAAATATGCTTTCCAGGGTTTCACCAGGCTGTTCATGTTCACAAGGAGTTTGCTGGTCCTAGAGTCCTCCTGGCCTGCTATCAGATAGTCAGTACCTAGTTTAAGAAAAAAAAAAAAAAAAAGAAAAACTTCAGTCAATAAATAGTTCAGTTTTTATGCAGAATTTCTCTATTTCATAAGCATCTGGCATGTAGCATCTTAGCCAGCTTCATCCAGTTTATGCATGTGCCATCTTATGTGTAAACATACCTTCACGTGCGTATTGTCACTGCTGACTCTTGGGCACACAGGTTCATGTTGTCATACTACACTCAGGAATTACAACTACAAATTGATTTAGTTCCAGTGGCCCTACCACTTACAACTTCAACACCTCCATATGCAGATGACCAGGCTTGAGTCTGTTCTGTCTGACCTTTGTTTTAAGCCATTGTAATTCCATGTGCTTCAGTAGCATTACTCCTGGCTTGTATAGGTACTTATAGATCTGTTTGATCTGAACAGATGTGGAAGCTGGTATTATATATGAAAATAGTAAGCTGGTCTTCCTAGATTATAACCTTAAGATACAGGTAGCAGAGCCTCAAAAAAGAGGTCTGTGAACAAAAAAGTGGGTAGCTACACATGGAGACAAGAAACAAGTACTACTAACAATCTTGTCACTGCCTTAGTAGATGTATAAGCACTCTTTGTGTTGTATTAACCATAGTAAGTAAAATCCCCTCATTGATCAGTATTTAGAGAAACAGAGGCCCAGCCATGGCAAGTTATGTGTGAGGTTCTGTACGCAGATCTGCAGTGATCTGGTGGCTACTTACTTATGCCTTTGTCCCCTCCTGCTGCTACTGCCCTCCTCCTTGTGTGCTGGGAAGCAATTGCTGATGCTTGTATAGAAAGGAAGGTTTAAAAGACCCAAGAAGAGATAAAAAGCAAGGTTTCTACTGTGAGTCAAGGCCTGCTGTGATCTTGGGGCAGGGCTTCAGTCAAACAGTGTGTTGAAATCTGCAGAACTGCAGTGATGGGGACCTGTCCATAGGTCTTTATTTATATCTTTATTTATATCTTTATTTATATCAAGAGTCAATGGCATAACACCTGTATCTCTAGCTTCTAAATTTCTGAGCTCTATGTCTTCAGCCCTATGCTTCTAAAGAGGTGCAAAGTAAAGCTAGAGAGGTACAAAGGAGAAAAATGTCCTGTGATATTTTCCCTGTTCAAATATCTGTGTGGGATCATCATCTTTAAGCAATATGTTTTATTCACATCTGATTCAGGGCTTCCACAGTTTCATAGGGAGCACTGATAAATACTTAATTATGCACAACTGTGCCACTGGAGTTTAAGTAAAGGAAAACACCTTATTCATTTGGACTACCTACCTTAAGCCAAAAATTTTATGTACAAAGTCAAGAACTACGCCCAAAAAGAGAGCTCAGGGTCCATATCACACCTCAATGCAAATTCAGATGCAGTCTTTCACTTGATACAGATAATGGATGACAAAGTTTGTTTCTGAGACAGTACAGTTCATTTTGCCATGACAGGAAAAAATTCATACAGAGTTTGATTTGATACAGCCATTCCTAAAACAGCTGACTCTTGTATGTGGCTAACTTCAGCTGAGAACTTGTCTTAAAGGTTAGATTGAACTTCACATTTTAAGTGAAACACAAGGAATTCCTTTCACTCAGTGCATATGTTTTTAATCTGTTCAGAGGAAAAAACATGGGGTAATTTTTCTATGGGGTGCTGCTTTTAGAATGATGGCAAGTCAGTGTTTTCTGTGGTGTAAGGTTGAATAATGAAACATGATACCCAGCATACACTACCAGTCACCCTAATGACACCCGAAGTCTTTGTCTTATTGGGATTTGATCCCAGGACATGGTCTCAAAGTCTTGGAACTTCCAGTGATATGAAGGAAAGTTGTGAGTAATCAAAATCTGTCAGAATTAGACACACACCTAGCATCTATGTGGGGACTTAGGGACATGTAGGGACTTAGTGGTGGACTTGGGAGTGTTACATTTACAGTTGGACTCTATGAATCTTAAAGGTCTTTTCCAACCCATATGATTCCATGATTCTACTTGGAAAAAAGTAGAGTCCAGGCTCAAATTTGTAGGATTCTGAGATTTACCCATAGATTTCATCTGTTGTTCAAGTAAATGTATTTCTCTTTGTGGTCCACTAAGTTGTATTGCAGGAAAGGCAGCCATAGGGAAGGCTGAATTGAGAAATGTATCTGCTCGGCCCCTGGTAACATTCCTCAGCACTAGTATGGAGCTTTGCAGGCTATAGTGTGTTGTTTCTGCCTGCAGCAGAGCTGGGGAGAAGGTTGCTGCTTTCCACTACCCTACTCCACTCCACTGCTGCAAGGAAATTCCCATAATTAAAAGTGAAAAAACATGGATCATTCTGTTAGAATGTCCTTAGGGATCAAACCTAGAGACCTATCCTAAACTGGTTATAAAAAGATGGGCTTTATTTACATAAAAGATTATTTTTCTAATTATTAAAGATTTGCCTGTCTTACTTGGGTTTGAAATGAAATTCATTTGGTTTTATGCTCCCCACCCATGATTGGTTTCTGATATGCTTCAGGTTGTCAGCTTTAGGTTTTGATGGAACAAACCACTGAATGCACTAGAATTTATAGTAGAAGAAAGGAGAAAGACTTTTCATTATTTGAAACCATTACGAAGACATAGAAGTTAATTTCCTCCACTTGCCCAAATTTTCCTAATAATTTCTAGTTTTTCCAAAAAGAAGTAGAGAGTGATGTGAGAATACAGAGTGAGGAAGAAAACTCTTTGGACATAGAAATACAGGAATTTTTTTTTTTCCTCACAAACATTCTCCTAGTCACAAATATTCTAGAAAATCAAACAAAGTCACTGAAAGTAAAACACTTCCAGGGAAGTTTGGGCTTTTTGGTAAAACTTTGTTATCTGATAAGAAAAAGCTTTTTTACTGCAGCTGTCTATTGACTGCCTCTTTAGTGTGGATGAATCAAAGGACTCTGCCCTGGAAAGACTGATGGGAAGTGTTGAGTGGCCATGGCTAATGTTCATAATGAATTGCCACCACTGTTTACAGGGGAAGGAAAATACCTGTTAAGCATTTTGTCCTTACCAGGATTGAGAATGGGACATGTACATCCCCTGTTGGTCCAGGATTCTGGGTAGATGCTTCTGTTGCTCCGAGCAATTTTCACTTTGCCTGATTTCAGGACCTTCTTCACTTTCACAACAACTTCTGCGTGGGTCCCTTTGTCATGAGCTGATAGGATTCTTGCTTTTATCACTGCCGGAAAACAGATCAAGATAGAGACCAACAAGGAATTTCTAGATGAATTTTGTTTTATGCTGCTAAAATGTAGAACTTTAACACCTTGAAAGAAGACATGAAAAAACACTGCAGTTGTACAGAAAGTGTATTCAAATACTTGTCCACTTCAGTCATGGTTCTTCTAAATAAATTTGGAGCAGAAAAAATAGATTTTTCTATTGAAATAGTTAACTGATCCTTTCACTGTGTTATTTGGCAACTACTTTTTAATGGGCTGGTGTCAAAGGCTTGGAAATAATAGGAAAGCACTTGTATGTATACATAGGAAGGGTGGAAAAAACAGATCAGCAGCTGACAGTCTGATTTTAATTGCACTGATTCTAGGCTTTGTATTTCACTGTTTGAGAACTTGTGTTGAGCTTTAACACTGGCCTCTCAATGATTTTGTCCTGTGGGAAGGGACTGTCTGCTCTACAGGAAGGAAGCCAGGGAGTTTACCATCAGACTGCAGGCACGTCACATGGCTAAAATTCCATAACTGCACAACAAACGAGAAAAAGCATTTTTGTTTTGTGGCCCAGCATCTGGTTGCCATGATACATTCCTGTTGCTTTAATTTAATAGGATCCCATAACTTTTTGGCAGGGTAGTCTCATCTAGATCGGCCCCACAAGCAGGCTTTGTTGCATCATGACACAAGCACATCAAACCTTTGGATCCCAGAGATTTCCTTTCTTGCTTCATGGGATTGCATGAACCCAGTGTTCATAAACCACGGTATTAAATATACTCTTGGTAAATAAGCATGGCCATTTGAACCTGCACAATGAGTGCAAAACCAATGGCAGGTTAGATGCAAGGTTTCTGTCATTTATTCTTGATGTAGAGGCCAACCGTTCCAGTGATTTACAATTCTAGCGCTCCTGCTGTAAAGAGGGAAGCTAACTGGGTGGAAAGGAGACACCATAGAGCCTTGCATGAAAAATGCTATTCAGTTCCGATCAGAAGTTGAACATGTCACTAGACAACAAAGCTAGAAGAAATCCTACCTCTTATTTCGTGACTTAGCCAGTCCAGTCATTTTTCATAGCTATCAGCTAATAGAGGGAACATTGTGAAATTACCATACCTCGAGAGCATGTCACCCACTTACCATAAGCGTATTTCATTTGGCAGAAGTCAGTGACGCTTCCAAGCACCTTTTCTTTGCACACACACTTTTCTAGCAGGGGAACCGCAAAACATGAAGGGTTGGAGAAGAGCCAGGACATGAGAAAGAAAAGCACAGGATACTCAGTTATAAAGTTGTATCTGGATGGACCTTAAGAGTAAGCTTGAGAGTGAGCTCAGTTATTTGAAAATCTGTTTCATGTTAGATGATACAGTAATTGTTCTGAAATCTGATCAGTACTGTCAAGTAAAATGCAGCCCTCATGGGGTCTATTGTAGAGTTAATAAACTGACACTAATGAAGATATTTGTAAGAATCAGATCCAGGTGTAAATAATGTAAATAATAATACCCTTGTTCCATCCCATAAGCTAAGAAACGCTGATCCATGCTGATATCAAGGTAGTATCCCTCAGAAAAGTCAAGCTATGCGATAGGTGGGACTATTACCTCTGGGTCTTACAGAGCCATTGGTGCTGGTTAAGTTCTGACCTTCACACGTGGCAACAAAACTGAGAACTATTTTAAACATTAAAGGCTCCACCTCATTCTCTAAGCCTACTTTGTACCTTTAGCTGGATACAGTATATGTTACTTTCTCTCCTCAGTTGCTGTGCCCTGAGGAATATCTTACTCTGAAAATCGCTTGCATTCCACCCCATAGGTAGTGCGTTTCACTGATGGCTGACACCATCTTTTTACAAACAGCATCTGAAGTTCTGAACAGCAACTGAATGCTTGAGCAGGAGCTGTGTAAAATCATAAGCATTATGACTATAATTATGACAACAAAAGGAGAGTCTTTTTTCCACACAGTCTCGTTCATGACTTAGCAATTTCTAAAACCAAAGTTGGATAGTACAGTTAGTTTGGAAAATAACAATATAAGTGTAATGATAACCTATATAGTTCAGATTAACAGATGTTGCCAGCAGCTGGGGGACAGACAAACTAGAGATGAGTGGGGGAATTTAAGTCAGGGTGGAGAGAAGAAAGAACTGGCACTGAGCGAAGTCACTGAATGTTCCCAGACTCTGGGCTGTACCTGGGTGCCTCAGTGCAGAAAATCCCTGCTCGTGGTCATTCCATTTCCACTCCTCTTCGCTCTCGTTGGTTGGCATTTGCACAAGGTCAGGGATTCGTCCCCCAACAGGGATGTTAAAGAATGGCTCATTGTCATAGCTGGGGGGACACGTAAAAGAGAAGACTTGGTTAGGAAAAGAGATGTGTGGGAAGCAGTTTTTTGTAGCATGTGGCTGTATCCAGACAGAGCTTGCTTTCTTCAGGTTGGGAGTGAAAATAAGAGCAAGACTTCATGCCATGTACAGACATCAAAAGACCTAGGCCTTACCACTGCTGACTTAGCATTTTTTAAAGTAACTATGTATTGGGCCTTTTTTGCTTTTGTTTGTTTGTTTGTTTTTACTGAATTAAGTAACTCAAAGTTAGTGACCATTTGTTGATGTCACTAGGCACTGAGGACTCCTGCAGAACCATAGAACTGCAGTCACTCAGCAAATCATAGGATTTCTGTACCAATTAATGCATGTTTGGGGTACAGATGCCTGCCCTCTAGAAACAAGAGGGAGACCTTGTAATTCATTTTACCCTGGGCACAGATGAGAGGCAAGCTCTCCAGACTTCCATCTATTCCCAAGGCAAACAGGTGTATTTGAAGATGCTGTACATGCTTCCAGGGGGTTGTGGAGTTGCCTGTTATTACTGCAAAAAGTCATCAATTCAAGATTGCCTTGGATAATACAATGGGCTTAGAAGTGTGCCAGCCACCAAATGGAATCTAAGAAACCTTTCATGATTTACAGCCACCTTTTCAAATGATTGTGCACCCGACAGCATCCTCCAAGTACCGTCATTGCTGCAATATTTCATTTAATCTTTGTTTCATTTCACAGAATCCCATCTCAAAGTGAACCCAAAGGAGGGCTTCTTTACCCATTGAAACAGTTTCCAGTATGCTGGTCGCAGTCTCTGGCACAGTCACAAGGGCGACAGCCATTTTCTCCAAAGCCCCAGTAGCCCATGAGACATCTATCGCAGTTGGGGCCCGCCACACCTGGCTTGCAGTAGCAGAATCCCGTCTTGGGGTGGCATCGCCAGCTTCTGCTGAAAGTTGCGTTGGCTGAACCCATTGGCTGGCAGGCGCAAGCTACGGAGATACGGTAAGAGGTGACTGAGATTATGTGCCCAGGGGTCATCTGGTTAAGTGACATTTTTTGCAAGGCTGATAAACTCGTGCCCTCTTCCTTATGCTCAGTAGTTTTAAGTCAGAACTGGTAAACATTGCATTGTCAGCCTACATTTGCAATATTGTTTTTGTTTCTTTTTAACTCATTAAGCATATCAAAACAAGTACGACTGGGGCCCATTTACATGTGAAAGTCAGTTCTTCCCTACTACACAAATCTTGACCATACAGGGGTTGAAGCAGTGGCAGGAAGCCTCCAGTATGTGCTTACTTTTAAAGGGGCTTGGAGGTGATTCACTTTTAAAGTGTTTTGCAAAAAGATTCACTAGCATGGATGAGGTAAGAAATTATAGCTATTGCCTATGTTGTCTCTCCTGTGAACACAGAGATCACAAAACTACTGTTCCCTCTGGGGCTAGATGCGGCTTATGCAGGTGGTTCAGATGACCTGAAACATTTTTTCGATTTCTGACTTCAGGGTCCACAAATTCCCTTCAGTGCGAGTTCTAAGGGACACATCTCACCATGCAGTACTGTACGTGTCTAAGGAAGCTGATGAAATTTTTTCTACAAATACATGAGCGGATTTGTTATAAGGAAGGTGGACAGAATGGGAGATCTCTAAACTCACTAGACGTTATTTTACATGTAGCTGGAGATGAGCAAATAGGAAGAACCCTCCCCCAAGATATTTCTAACGCTATTGCTAGTTTGACACCAGCCTGGCAACTCAAGGCAACTTGGCAGTAAAACAGCTCCTGTGGGCAACTCTGCCTTCACAGACAATAAATGGGCATAATCCCACACCACCAGTACATTCCCAATGTGACATCATCAAGGAGTGAGGTGAAAAGTAATACACAGATAGTGGTGCAAAGCCAGCACAGTTGACTCCTCTCCATCATGGCAGACGCTAGCTGAGATGGCCAAGCTTTGTGCCAGTAGCTCTGCAGAGGCAGAATACAAGCAATCACTCATTTCTGACATTCAAACAAGTTTGATTAAAGTGAGGACTGAGCTGAACTCCAGGCCTTCATATTTCAGCCCTTTTTTGTATTAACAAAGCAGCACACCCTGGCTTTTGCTTGCAGCAGAGACTGAAAAAGGAAATGCATCACTACTTCATCCATCTGGAAGAGGGCAGAAATAAAAATCTTGTGGCTAAGACCCGCTTTAACAGAGATTTTCAGTTAAATGTTGGACACCCAAGGTGTTTAGATAGCTTGGATCAGGGGCCAGCCTTTTGGATGCTTATCTGAACCAAACATGATCTCCAAAGCTTTTGAAGTTTGCCCATCATTGCTTCTAGTCAAACTACTTTTCTTCATGAGCTCACAGATAAGAGACCAAATGAACACTCTGATTCCACACATCATTTTCCAAGGGGAAGGGGCAAGTATATGACTATAAAGAGTGTTAAGTGTAGCAGGGACAGATTCACTTTCATCTGCAACCTCATATTTGATGCTCAAGAAAAGAAAATATCTTTTGAAAATAGTACAAAAAAAAGGGTGAGCAATTTTGTTTAAAGAGCATTTCTCTTATGATCTGCTTACTACATAGTTATTTTTTTCACCATGCCCTGTGTTCTTTATGCCAATATTTTTAATAATATTATTACACTCTGCTGTAGACAGATCTCAGTCCGTTGTTTTCAAGGGACGCTAGCACAATAGCCTAAGGACAGAAAATAAGCGTGCTGTCATGGGCAATGTACTCAACACAATGAGCTGGTTGGCGGATGGCAGCAGGCTCGCCTGTTTGCCACAAAGCAGTCTTGACTTTGGGAGCAAACCCAGGGATTTTGCTGTCAGTTCTGGAGAGCAGGTGTAACAATGAAGTGCTCATTAGCACTGACAGTTTCAAACACAAGTTCTGATTTGTTGCTGCTCAACTTGAATTATTTTTGCCCAGATTTTTGCAGGGCTGACTACCTCACCCTAAAAAAGGACACACTTAGTTCTGTCCATCACTGAAAAAAAAAAGGATGCCATATATTTCAGGATAAGGAGGGGAAACATGTGCTTCCTTTACTGCAGACAGGTCTGAGCCACAAGAAGTAAGAGTTTGCCAACATCTGGGTTGGCTTGAATCCAGGTTTCCAGTTTCACTGTAATATCTCTGTATGTAGGATCTACCTGTGGAGTTTTCACCTCAAATGTCTTACATTTCTGCCACTTCTGGGTCCGTCTTCCTTCCCATCTTATTTATGTTTTTCGGGTTTCATTAGTTAGGGTCACATAACAGATGGGTAAACCATTAGCATCATTAGACTACCGATCACCAACTGAGACTAGATCCTGATTCAGGAAGATGAGACCTTCTCCCATCCTATCCCTAAGGGAAAGTATTACAGGACAGTGACTGACAGCATTGGCAGGAGCTGATGAAGAGGTAGGAAACAAAGCGTTGGGTTGTTGTTTTTTTTCTCCATTTTGCCACTACAGTTCGGGAAAACTAACGTTCCCAAATGAGCTGTGGGGCATATTCCCCAGTCAGAAACCGGGACAGCTTCTGGTGGATCAGAAAGCAAGCTGAATCAATAAATGTACAACACTTTCAGATGAGTTATACAAGTGGCTTGCAAACGCTTTACTCAGTCTGTGTTTATTTAGCGTTTCAGCTTGGGTGTGTACATTGTCTGGCTTCCAGAGTATTACGGCCAAAATCCCAGTTGTGCATCTAAGGTAACTCCCAAAGTAAGAGCCCACATGTCACATGCTGAAGGGGCAGCTGTTGATGACTGGGTTTTATCTGTTTAATAGAACCGCAGATTTGCAGATAAACCTCACAATTAAAGAAACATAAAAGCAAGTTTCCAAAACCTCACCCTTTTACATTTCCCAATATTTGACAACACAGCATCTTTCCCTGCTGATTTTTGCTGCTTTTCTCTTGGCAAACCCTAGTTTTCTCTCCATCCGCCTCCCTGTCTAACAAAACACCAGCCGACATGACAATGGCCTTGTTTGTCAAAGGCATCATCAATTATGTTAGGGACGGTGTGCAGACAGTTCTGGCTCAGAGATGGCTGGTTTATTTGGGTTCTCCCCTTGACAGCAGTGTAATGAAAAATTTTCATCATTGTACTTTAGAATTGGCTATCAGTCACAGAGTATCACAAAGCATCCTCTTGCCTTTTAGTCTCACTCCTATACTAAGTTTGTTTTGTCAGAAACTACTGTAAAAAGGAGGAGACGAGGAATAAGGAAAAATGAATAATTCATACAGCAGTCTCCACTCAAGTCCTCAATAAATCTGTCTGCCCTCACCACAGCTGTCTTTCCCATATAATTAGACACAGATGTAAAATATAATATTGGTTGTAACAATATGGTCCCAACTCATAGGAAAATACCAAGCACTCCAAGTAATTCAGTGGACTTTGAGGTATCTTGCCTTAAACTTCTGTCTAATAATACCGCATAAGATATAGCTATGAGCAGACTCTGGCTATTTGATAAAGAACAGGCAAAATGAAAAATAAAACAAAGCCTTTTGAATCTGAAATATATACATGTGCATCTTTGGAGCACATGACCAAATCAGGGCAATTTTTAAAGCATGTCAGATGTGGGGATTGACTCAGCCAATGATGTTTTTTAAATGAAGGAAATAAGATAGACAGCTGCGTGTGTGGTCAGGGCTGATTAAGACAGACTTTGAACCAAGATGCGATCAGGCCTTTGTGATATTACAATTAAAAGTTCACTCCCTCTGCTCACAAGTAAAAGGATGAGAAGCAGAGCTTTTCAGAGCGTGTGTGTGCATGTGCATCTGGGCACATTTTAATTTTCAACTCCTGTGCTTAGAGTAAAAAAGCTTGTTTTCCTGGAGACCCTTTTTAATGGGTGTACATGCCTGCATTATTTTTTAAACTAAGCAAAGGGTGAGCACAAAAGATGGTGCCATTTCAGAAGGATCCCTTAAGCCTCCAAATAAGCCACAGGAAAGAGCCAAGGATACAGCAGCTTTTCTAACCATTGGTTAGGAAACGATTAGGCTTCTGAGTCAAAGCTCCCATACAAGTCTATATCCAAACTACTTAATCCTGTGTTGTCACCCCCAATAACAGGCAGGTGTGTGCCTTGCTCTGGGGCTCTTTTCATGCTTTCTTTTTTTTATATATAGATCTAAGCAGTGTCAAAACAAGGCTCTGCACACGACCTGGCTCTCATTCATCCCCAGCTGCTAGGAACAGGAGAAGCAAAAGGATCAGAGGCAGGCTACCTCCGCAGACAAAAAGGAATAGCAAATTCACATTTACTTGTCAAATTTCAACAGATTTTTTTTTTTCAAGGGAATGTCTTTGCAGTCTCACATTGGAGGGTCAGCAAAGGGTGGTTTGGATAGCGCCAGGACATCCAATTGTTATACAACTGGCTTTTTCCTAGCAGTGATTAAGAGAGAATGCTGTTCATTATTGTGACTCATGCTTAAAGACTTTCTGGGCCTGGGCAGTGTCCTGTTAACTTTCTGGGAGCCTGAGGGGGATGTCACAGCTGAACCTAGACTTTGCTCTGGATGGCAGAGCACTCTTCAAGCGTGCTTTCTCAAAGGGATTAGCACAGCATTTCATTCAGCTTTTTCATCAGATTTCCTTTCCCAGCTCAGTATCTACTGTACACAAGGGTCAAGTTTTGATCTCCCATTGAGGGTTTTTTTTTCCCCTCCAAGTTCAAAATGGGAAGCTGAGGACCAGGTTGCTCTCACCAAAACCATCCATTCAGTCTGCTGTTTGCAGTTTATTACTGCTTTTCAGTACTTGCCCAGTGGGTGGGTTTTTCATTTAGTGTTGTTAGTTTGGCACTGCTTGCGTGGTTTTCTCAAAAGGAGATGATGCCTTGGAATTGGTACATTTAAATCCTCACAAACACGCTAATCCAGAAGTGGCAGCTCTTCAATTTATGGTCAGCAGGCTGAGGTATGAGAGAAATGTACCTGGTGGCCCAGTTGTCTGGTTTCTTACATAGTAGCAATGCTCAAAACAGGAACTGGTTTTTACTGAGTAACCAGAGTTGTTTTTAGGGTCACATAACCTGAACAATTTGCTCAGACCACAGCAGATTAAGTTTAATAGCAATCCAAGTTTTGCAACCTAAAGGATGGAGAAGAGGGCCTCTATCATATATCTGGCACAAGGCTTTTCAGTTTAATATCAGCTCTAGGCTTAAGGAGCTGATGATGGTCGTGGAGGTGACATCTTCCCTCTATCAAACTGAGTCTGTTCTAACCAAAACAAGCCTGCCTGACTGCGCTGGTGTTTCTGGTTTTTCTGTCGCTGATAATAACCAAAGTAGTGAAATGTTCCCTGAAAATTCTCTGCAGAGGTACAGCATAACATGAAGTGCACACTTACACACTGCCTGCAAACCACATGGGGAAGTGTTTGGACATCAGTTCTTTCATCATACAAAACACTACCCTATTAAGGTAATTTGTCAGATGTCATTGTGGGAATTGTCCTCCTCACCTTAAATACAAGGGGAAGGGCACAGACTAGCCACCTTCCTCCCAGGCTTCTCTTATATCTGCAGTGTCCCTTCTATTTCCACACAGGTACAAGCATCATGCACACATCAGTCTGCTGTAAAAGCTGAGGCTCTCTAGAGTGAACTGCAATACCCTTTCCTTATGTCTTGATGTGGCAAGCATTCATGCATGCCTTTGCACACCTGTGAAAGGTGCTACTGAATCATGCAGAGATAGGGTCATGCTTACCTATTTGCCATAATGCTGAATCAAACCCATTAGATTCAGCTCAACCAACAGAAACTCTAGTGCAGGCTGCTGATCCAGAATACCTCTTAAGTCAAGGAAGAGAAATAGGTACCCTCCAGAGGGCAATTCATCTCATCTATCTCTGGCATCTACATTAGACCACAATAAATCATTCCCTAGAGGTCCCACTGTTTCTCCACTGACTACAGGGAGCCTAGAAAAGACATACGACTTTCAGGTGGCTAAAGCAGGGTGGCAGCTATCTAAGCCTGTGCACGCAAGTCAGAGTGGAAACAATTGCATTTGGGGGCCTTCTGCTGGCAGCAGCATGTTCCCAGGTGAAAAGAACATTATTGTGTTTGACTGGCACAACAGGAATAAAGCTCTTTCAACAAGGTACATTTCTGAACAGTTTTTCTTTTGCTGTGCAGGGTATTGGCAGGAGGTACCGAGAGGCCTGTAACCAGACCAGACAAAAGAGGCAGAGGTAGAGTCAAGGTCTGATTTCATCCAGGCAGACTGTTCTAGAGTTTCCACACAGATAGGCTGTATTTTCAAACAATCTTTTTTCCTCTTTGCTGCTTTCCAGTGCTGCTTGACTTTAGCAGTTATCTAATATTACACATGATGTTGGTAACTACACCATCACCCTGCTGTTAAATGCAAGAGTTCATGGACAGATTCTTTCAGTTACTATGAGATAAAAAACTAATGTTCTGGCACAACAATTTATTCTCATTACAATGTTCCCCTGTAGCAAATCTGCTCAGAGTAGAAACAGGACTAGAAAGGGACCACCATAGAACAGTGTGGGATACAGGGTGGACAGATAAGCTCAACCCCAGCCCTGTCTGCTGATCAGTGTTCTGTGATGAACATCGTGAAATTGAAAAGAGGGGGCTGTGTGGAAGCAGTCTGTGCTTGCACTAAGATTCAGTGGAAATAATACAGAAGAGCAGAAAACGTAAGGATGTGTAGTGCGCAGAAAGTTTAAGCAACATCACAGGCCATACAGCCATAGGGAAAGGAGTGTTTGTAAACTGAGTGCTTAAGAGGAACCTTGAAGAACATCAAATAGTCAGGAAAGCTTCAAGAGCACATGGTACCAGTGGGCATGAGTATAGATGACAGAGGATAAAGTTCTCTGTGCTCGCAACTGATGTCTGAGCTATGGGGAAGGAAAACCATCCAAAGGGAGAAATGAAATTATGCGTATTGTTGGAAATAGCAACCTCCCAAATAGATGCCAGATGGATTCAGATGTGTGAAGCCTGGCAGGATACTCAGGAAATGTTTACACTAAGTAAGGGAGATTTGGGCTACGTTCCAGATTGGCTGGGTGCTAACTACCTTGATCCAGAGGTTGTACACAGAGGGTGTACAACCATTAGTGCCTCTATGGTCAGTTACGTCCTAACACATCC